GGGGGGGGGGTACCTCACTATAGAATACGTCACCGTTGTTACCGGCCCGGAAAGTAGGGTCTGGGGGAGAGCACCGGTTCGCACCGGTGGCACCGGGCGCAGGATTGGTACTTCATATCTACTTTTATAGTTTCTAGTAATACTGATTTTAGAGCAAAGTCTTGCTGGTCTTGCTAATATTTCCATGAAATCAAAAATTAAGCATTATAGTCTAATTATTTTATTCGCCGATTGTTACGTTGTTTCAAACTTGTCACATTGGTAGGTCCTCAAACTGACACGTACATTCTTGTCTATTCATGATATAACACTCGACTAACAATATTGGAAGCCGGTTAGTCGAAGAGGGAGATTAATCTTGCACCTTTACACCACGCAGCCGCCTGTTTCAATAGTTCAATATTTCATACCGCTATTCAATATCCCTGAGTGTTTTGTCCTTTACTGGTCTCCTAAGTAACCATAACTTAGGAGTTTTCCGAATGTATGAAATTTTTATTTGATACATTCACGAATTTTTCTTTTATTTATTTGTGTTCCTTGATCACGAAGGAATTAAAAGAATGAAAAATGTTAGGAAAAACTGAGAAGCCACTAGATCATTCTCTGACGGCACTTAAAAAAGGCCTTGATATCTCGATACTAGTTTATTTGCTAGCCTTATAGTTAGAGCCTCGCAATATGGCGATTACTAGCTGGTGCACTACCAGTACTACGAACCCAACTTACACGTTTATTTGAGAATTTGGTATAAGTAGGACAAAAATAATTCTCCCTAGATTTGTATTATCAAAACTATTAGCCTTCTCCCCCTGTCTTTCCCTTCCTTACTCCCCCGCTTCCTGTAGATATTTGTACCACGTCCAAGGAACTGCTTGTAAGCAAAGCATTTGGCTAGTTTTGGCTACAATGCCATCCATGTTATTTCAAAATAGTCTTGGACCCCTTTCGAAACTGCCAAAGTAGTCAATACTACTGGTTATCAACACAAATATGCTGTTACAGTCAATCACATCAAGTGTGTTATAGTATATTTATACTGGCAGTGCACGGCTGTCGAGTTATCAGTTCCGCTTCGTAAACCAACCAATCACAGACATCCCTCTTGAAATCATATGCATTTGGTTGTATGAAAAGCATTTGAACTCTGACGCTGCCTCATTGTATACTCGAGGTTCTCTCTATGATACACCATATCGAAGCAGATTCTTCATCACAATCCTGAGTTAAACCAAAGTTAAAACATCATGAGGCCCAGATTAGGGTATTTTAGCGTTATAATATTTTTCCAAGTGTTTTTTATCTGCCACGATTTTGTGGCCACTGCCAGCCATGCTCCATACACTTTCAACGATTTGCTCGCCTTCGTAGCCAAACAAGGCCAAAAACTACACTATGGTGATGTCCAAACCATTCTAAAAAAGCTTCATTTCGAGGACTGTACTACCAGCGTTCGAAAACAAGAGTGTAATAAGGTAAGGGGAAGTATAGATGAGAATAAGGGGAAGTATAGTTTGACTTCTGTATACATGCCATTCTACTACAGTAAGCTTTTGCTGGTGATAATTGAAGTTCTCGACTTTGAATCATCACTACGTACTCAGCTGTTCTTTTTTGTAAAAAGAAACGATTTAGATCATGATTTTTATATCTAATGCCTTAATCTTTGAAGCCCAGAATTTAAATATTATAGCGATTCACTTAAGAAATCCAATGTTAAAACTGTACYACTTTACTCGCGTCGAGGTCGCGTGTAAAATTTAGTAATTAATGATTACCATTCGCACCTAAATTCCTAAAATACACTTTCTTTTTCCTTTTGTAGTGTCTGTCTCCCAAAGATCTTGGTTTAACCAACTCATCTGTTCTGAATTCTACCCAATTTAACGCTAAATCGATGGCGATCGTGTACTATTTGATGCCCGAAAAGACTTCTGGTAATAATAGTACCCCATGCGCATTACCTTCCCTTCCCAGCAAACTGTTCGAAACTCTTGCTCACAACTTCACTCACGGCAAGTCTTCTAGTATCACGGAACATGGCTTAGAACATATTTTAAGCAACGTTAACAAGACTTTGGGACCTCATCTTAACAAGAAAAAGGTAAGGGAAGATATACTACACGCTATGAAGAACTTATGACGCAATAAAACTAGTTTATGTAAATAGTTTATGTACTTTTTCTGCTTCACTGTAATCTTTGTAGGATTTTAATTTTTATAAGCTTATGTAAGCTTAAATATCAGATTTTACCAATATCAAATATTATATCAAATGTTATTTTTGTTAAAAATATGTTTTCAATTCCCTTCATGTGGTTGGTAATGTTTTCCATTTACGAGTCTTGACGAGTCCATCATTAATATTAACCTAAGTATTTGAAATATATAATGACTTCATAATTCAAAAGAATATTTATGCAGCTATATGACGATTAGTAGCTCTATTTTCTAAGATATTTTGAATTTTACAGTCTTTGATACATATACATGTATACAACATTCTAGCAATAAACAAATGAGCACATTTTTATGTACCATTAGTTGCATGACTTAAACCAGTTATGCACTTACACCTTATGCAAGAAGGTTGTCATACAAGAATAGAACATGTGTAATTTAGTGAGAATTAAAGGAATACATTAAAAGACAAAAGAAAAAGTTCAGCTTCAGTGATCTTTTGTTTTTTAATATAATTCCTATCCCACTAAATCACTAATGTTCTATCTTCGTATGACGTTCTTGCATGTAGGTGTATATTAAAGCAGGAATTGAGAAGGTTGCAGGTATTGATGCATAGAGTAGCAAAGTTTATATAAATTTAGAACTGCTTCATTTCATATTAATTGCTATAACTCATTATTTGAAGTATTAAAATTATTTTTAAAATTTAATTATTTTTTGAATTATCTGTTATAAATTATTAGAATTATTTTTTTAACTCAGACGTGTGGCCTTTATATATCCCCAAGGCACCAATATTGAGTCTATACATTTTCACTTGGGTTTAACAGGCTCATTGTTATTGTGTGAATAGGCCTAAACCTGTGGTATTGATAAAAGGGTAAATTATACGCCGTGAAAAGTTGAAAAAACTTTACTGACGTTTCGGACGCTAGTACTCCAACGAATGACTAGTGTCCGAAACATCAGTGAAGTTTTTTCATCTTTTCAAGGTGTAAAATTTACCCTTTTATTCATTAGAAACACTGATGCAGCTCACACTAGTTTTTAGTTAGTTATCTTTTCTTAAACCTGTGGTACAGGAAATTACTTCAATAATTGTGCCACGAGATTTTAAAATCTAGGCATGCATTGCATTTTGAAATATTTATTTATCACCACAAAAACAAAAAAATCCATTACATTCTGTTGTCAAAATGAAATGTTTCTACCAAAAAATAATCAATATGCTATTTCTTAAATATTTTCGATGAATCTTTCAAAGGATGAGTTTTATTTTCTTTATTATCAAGTAAAAGCTTATGTTAACTGATTTTGTGTTGAAAATTCACAACTTCTTTAAAAATAATCGTCTCCCCAAAAAGGTCCAGGTCATGAAGATGATTTGTGACTGTCATGCCAATATAATATATCCAATTTGATCACAAGTTTAATTGCCTCTATTGCCTCTTTTTATAGGCAATTGGACAATGCAAATTAAGATTTATTGTCAAAATAATCTTCTCAGCTAATTAAAAGCATGTCTAGGAATTTAGATGTTGTTACTATAAATATTTGCCAATCATTCGAAGTCTTTTGTAATGACATCAACAGTGTTAAAGTTTACACAAGTGGAACAACGAGGAAAAAAGTTCAATGATGTAAGCTTTTTGGCATTTTCATAATATTACTTTCATCAACTAGAGTATAAAAATAATAATATTAAAAAAAACCATATAAATTATTTGTGTATTGCATACAGCAATCAAAATACTCAAGCAATTCGAACTAATTGTATTTCTATATACTGACATTTTGTAATCAAGGTCAACAAACAAACAAAATAAAAGTACATGTATGGTAAAGATTTCAAAACTAATATTATTTGAAAGCTTGCGATTTCTTAATTTAAAACAATGCCAGAGCCTTAAACACAAATCAGGCACGTTCAGTAGAGGTGAATGGACATGGGGTTAGCACGTACAGCCAAAAGAATTTCATTATGTGAATAAGCAAATGATAAGCTACAAAAGGGTGTGAGCAACGATTTTTGATATTTTGCTTCTTAAAGAAAAAGATATTGAATTTAAAAGTTGGAACGTCGAATAATTTCAATGTCGGTAGATGTTATACCACATAAAAGATAGAAATACTCAAAATGTCAAAAATCACTCGCATCCTTTTGTAGACTAAGCAGTAACCTTAACCTGGGCTATATGTGTATTGTTCCAGAGCAACATGCAAAAACATGACCACATTATTCACATACTTCTATGCATTGGCTTTTGTATGTTTAACCAAAATATTTCCATGCACAGCTGGCTGGTTTTAAAAGCTGGTTTCACAGCAAAAGCCTGTGCAAAGAAGTATGCGAAAATGATGAAATGTGGTCATACTTTTGCTTGTTATTCTTTAAAGTATGAACCTGGCATGGGGAACTTGTGATTTAGAAAGAATAATATTGATTCCATTGAAACTATTGTCCTTTTCCACAGAAGGAGATATCAAATTTGAATATATTATGACTCACTAATATAAAATGTTATGAATGAAATGATGCAGAGAATTTTACACAAAGTTAAGACCAAAAAATGGTTTTTGAATTCACAATTTTGTTGTGATCCAGGACTCACTCACAGTTGACAAGAGGTTCCTAAATATTGGTTACTTGAATACTAAATTTTATTTCACTCTCTGAATTAGCTTTGCCCTTGCTTTGATCATTCTAGATGTTGTTCAACTTATTAATAATAATAATAATAATAATAATGTTTTATTGAGCGCCAATTCCCAGCGGTTCAACAGCGCTTTACAAAATACAAAAAATATTCATTATAGATAAATAATACTGTAAGGGTGCTGACACACGGTGCAACATTGCACCCAAAATTGCAAGCACCAAATTTGAATCAGGGTGACACACATTGCAACAAAATCACGCAACATCGCTTGTGTCAGCCTGCTATGTTAAGATATTTGGTCAGCAGTTATAAATTTGGTGCAATTTTGGCTGGAAATTTCAAATGTTTGCAGGTAATGTTGCAGCCATGTTCACATGATGAGTGMAATGTTGCAAGAGTAGAGAGCGATTCAACTTCAGATTTGTTGCATGCAAYGTTGCATGCAAAATGTTTGGGGTAGACACATGCTGCAACAGTCCTGTTGTGTACAATGTTGCATGCAATGTTGCACCGTGTGTCAGCTTAATCACAACACCCAGCCAGAACAGTATAGCAACAACTGCACAACAACAATAACAGCAACCACAGCAGAAACAACTGAAACAAAAACAACAATTACAGCGACAGCAACAGCAACAGACACAACCCAACAACCACAGTAACAGCAACCACAACAGCAACAACAACTACAACAATGACAGCAACAGCAGCAACAACAACAGCACCATAACAGCAAGAACAACATCTACAATAACAGCAACAAAAACAAAAGTAACAGCAACTATAGTAACCACAACAGCAACAACAATCAAAGCAGCAACAACAGTAACAGCAACATTAGCAGCAAAAACCACAGTAACAGCAACCATAACAGTGACAGCAGCAACAACAGCAGCAATAATAACAACAACAATAACAATGACAGCAACAACAACAGCAACAGAAACAACAACAGCAACAACAGCAATGATAACAACAACAACAACAGTAACATTGACAACAACAACAACAGCAACAACAACAGCACCGTAACAACAACAACAGCCACTACAAAAACAACGGCAACAACAACAACAACAGCAACAACAATGGCAACAATGACAGCAATGGCAACAAGGACAGTACCATAACAACAACAACAGCAACAACAACTCTTATAAATGTACAGCATAATATGTATTTACATTTACTTACAGTACACGTACATGTATATTTATTTACAAATGGCCTGTGTCTACTTTTTCAGTGTTTCTCAGCTGAAAGCATCATCGAAGAAGTGAAAAAAGAGGAATCTGACCATGATCACCATCATGAACACTCAGGCAACGAGACCGGGTTGGATGAAGATGACTTCCAGAAAGCATGCGCCATCATTGTTTATCGTCTTATCCAAGGATATTGTATTGCTGAACATGAAAGTCACTCTAACTTACCATCATCATCATTCTTCATTGATGATTTATTCAAAACCAAGAACTATCTTCAAGAAGAAGACCTTCTAGAGATAACCAAAAAGCTAGGCATTGCTAAAGAGGCACAAAATGAAGATGTTGACGATCATGGTCATAGTCATAAACGCCGTCGACGTGCTGTTGCAGAACCTACTGCAGCTCCTACTCCACACAATGCAACAGTAAGTAATTAGAAATGTTAAGAAAGTTTAATTATGTTTTATCAAGCACATTTTTCTCAGGGTAAAAAAAGAGATTCTCGGTATAGTAGGATTCAAACTCATGACCTTAGGGAGCATTCATCATTTTTAGGAGGGAGGGGTGGGGGGTGGGCTGGAGGAATCCATGGGAGGGCCATTAAACTTCTACTGACGCAAAAAAGGGGGTCATCAAATATTTCATGTATATAAAGGGGAGGGATAAGAATTCAACAAATTTCAAGGGGAGGGTCACTTTTTTATGCAGAGAGAAGAAAGAGAGGTCTAAAGATTTTACATTACTGTTTACAGGTGTGGTGTATTTTCTAAATAATAATCAACTATACTAAACCATGTGCTTTGATGCTCGTCTCTTTATTACACACATGCGCACTCGCACGCTTGCAAACCTAACAGGGGTGGGGTGGGTAAATCCACCAACACTACATCTCTCCTTTTTTTTAAAACATGAGTTCACACATGGTTGAGCAAAACAACAATAAACTAAGATGCCCAAAGTCTTTAACTGTCATAACATTTAAACATCATAAGCTTTAGCAAGCTCACAGTCAGACAAAAGTTATAGGCCCAACATAGCCCAGTACATAGTCATCAAACCTTGCAGGTAGCATCCTTGCAYGAGTAGGTCGAGTAGCTTGAAGGTTAGGATTGCAGGGTTGACCYGGATGGTCAACCTGGCTGGCTTGGGTAGGTGACATTCCTACTGCTGTGGTCGCCTTGAAAGTTCCTCCAGGAGGTTGATCATCAAAGTAGGGGTCAATCTCATCAAGCTCTGAGGTTGTGGTCCTGGGTTCAGGCACATTTTCTCGGCTGCCGTAGAATTTCTTTAAATGGGTGACATTCCTGTGATACTGAGATCTTCCATCACCAATGAGAACACTGTTTCCTTGCTTCTGAATCACTGTGAATGGTGATGGTTTGAATGGTGTAGATAGCTTGTTCTGTCTCTCCTGTTTGACCAACACTTGATCACCCTCCTGGATCTGACTGTCTTGTGCTCTCCTCTTGGCGTCTGCGTACTGTTTCCCCTTCTCTTTCCATTCACTGTCTCTATCTCTCACCTCATAGTCCCAACTGGTTTCAGTCAGTTGGGGTAGTTTTGTGCGAATGTTCCGCCCATATAGAARCTGTGAAGGGCTTATTCCTGTTGTGCTGTGTGGTGTGCTACGGTGCATTATCAGAAACTTGTTCATCTCTCCTCTCCAGTCYCTTCRTTCCACTTGAGCAATGCGTAACCTCTTCAGGATACTGCGATTCTGACGCTCAACTTCTCCATTGGCCTGGGGCCAGAGAGGAGTGGTTCTCCTATGTTCAATGCCATTCTCATGCAAATACTCCTCGAACTGCTCACTTACAAACTGTGTTCCATTGTCTGTTCTTAATGACAGTGGTAGGCCATGAGTAACAAATGCTTGGTCCAGGAGTAATATGATCTTCTCGGAAGTTATGGATTTGGTGAAATCTATCTCAAAGAATCTACTGTAGTAATCCACCACGACAAACAGGTAGTCACCAGAGGGTAATGGACCCAACAGGTCAGCAGCTAAGTGCTCCCATGGAGCAGAGGGCAACTCAGTGCGGGTCATGGGCTCGGGTTTGTGAGGTTGGCTAACCAACTGACACCCATAACATTCTTTGCAGTGCTTTTCAACTTCCTTGTCTAGTCCCGGCCACCAGACTTTAGACCTGAGTTGTTGCTTCATGGCTACAATGCCTGGGTGGCCTTCATGGGCTAGCTCTAGTACTTGACCTCGGAGTTGTTTGGGCACTACAATCCTTGCTCCTCTCAACACAAGTTGACCAACCGCTCCTAACTCATTCCGCACTGGCAGGTACTCTTTAAATTTGATGTCATCCCATCTTCCATTAAGCAGACACTCCCTGATGCACATCAATTTTGGATCATGTTCTGACACTCTTTCCATCTCGCGTGTGGTCAAGGCACATGGGGTCGCCTCCCGAGCTACAAACCTAATATAATGTTCGGTGGTATCATCTGAGCCAGTAACTGATGATGGGGACAGAAGTCGTGACAGTGAATCAGCDATGTTGCTTGGGCCAGGGATGTACTTAACAGTGTATGTGTAGGGCTGCAGTCTTAGGAGCCATCTCTCAATCCTTGCACAGGTCTTTGACTTTGGTGTAAAAATACACTCTAGTGGCTTGTGGTCTGTCCACAGTTCAAAATCAGCACCAAAGATGTAGGCATGGAACCTCTCGCATGACCAGACTATGGCCAAGGCCTCTTTCTCTGTTTGTGAATATCTCTTCTCAGTGTCACTTAAACTGCGGCTGGCATAACTAATTACTCTGAGTTCTCCTGCCTGTTCCTGTACCAGAACAGCTCCCAATCCGACTGGACTGGCATCTGCAATCACTTTGGTGGGTGCACTTTGGTCAAAGTATCCCAGGGTCTCTGCATTGGTGAGTCTCCTCTTCAACTCCTTGAATGCTCTACTCTGCTCTGGACCCCATTGAAATGGCTCTTGTGCCTTTGTAAGCTTTCTCAAGGGTGCAGAGATGGTAGCTAGGTCTGGGATGAACTGTGCAGTGAAGTTCACCAGTCCTAGGAAACTCCGTACTTCTGCGGCATTTGTAGGCTCTCTAGCCTCAGCAACTGCTCTCACCTTTTCATCTGCTGGTCCAATTCCTCTTTCTGACAATACATGACCCAGGAATTCTATCTTTGGCATTTTAAATTGACACTTGGCACGGTTGAATGTTAATCCCCTTTCTGCTAGCAC